GCCCCTTTCATTTTACTTTCGCCAAATGCCATCGTAAAGCGGAAAATGTATGTTTTTGCCCTTGATGCCACGAACCACTTTTTGTTAAGTTTCACTCGTTTGTTTTCCTTTGCTTTTTATTTTATTTCGTTTTATGTTATTTTGTGGCTCACGCACTTTATTATATGAGCGCGTATATTTTCATATAATATGTGTAAGATGTGCCCAGGTAAGGTAAGAGTAAGGGAACAGGTTGAGGTACAGGTACCGGTACAGGTACCGGTACAGGTACAGGTTGAGGTGGCCACGATGTTACATTTTTGGCATTAATAACATTTTGGTGCACTTGTTAGGATGAGTTTTTCGTTTTCTTGGAAATAGCAGAAAGAGATACCAAATAATTCAATAGATATGCCCGAAAAATACCACCAAAAGTATTTCAGCAAAATTAATTACAATCGTTTGGAAATTAAGTAAAGCTCGTCGCTACCTTTATTGAAATATCATGCCAAAACCCCGGCATACTTTCATTTGGCGTAGCGAGAGATTAATGCCTGAGCCCGTGCATAAAAACCCACGCTGTAAAAGTAATAAAGGACAAAGGCAATTGTGGTCAGCATGACTGGACTAACTATGCCCTCATCAAGCCTAAGCCCGGGCAGTTAGCTCGCTTCCCCACTCTCCCGCTCTTCCGTTGGCCCCCTAGGCCGCTAGGCCACATTTAATATGGGACATATTCCGCACAGCGCAGATGCTCCGAGATTTGCACGGACCCTGATCAATTATTTAGTGTGTGAGGGCAGTGGTAGCGTCGTCTATGTCTCCGGTCTTGTCACGTGGCTGGTTTGTGATTTTTGTCTACGTGGAGCATGTACCAAACATTATTTAATAACACATTCTAGTTAGCAATGAAGGCTGTACGAGACCCGCTAACCAAATTAGTCAGTGTCCGTACTTTGGACACCTCCAGTACCCCCAAACACAGTCGACTTTGGCGTTTTCGCTGTGCTCTGTGTCGTTTAATAGGCCCGCAGCTGGAGCCCCAAGTTGCAGCTGGCGGCTCCTTGAGTCGGAGAGGCATTGCACTGTCAAAAGTTTTTGACACGTACAACGACTAAAGTTTTCAGCGGTGGGCGGGACATAAATAAACACGCCCTTGTCGTTGCCTCATTCCCATGTCCATGCCCATGCCCACACCACCGCCCACCGCTCACCATCCACCGCCTACCGCCCACACCCACATCTAAATCCTCGTGCCTGCGTTTGGAACTCGGCCTGGGCATGGAGGGAATGGTATAGGAACAGAGTTCCGTCGAGCGACCGGAACGTGACCAGAAGCCGGCCAGCGGTTGCTCACGTGGCCAATTGCCTGGGCCTGTTTCGTCCGATTTGTCCTTTGATGCTGCTCGGCTCGTAAATTTTTCAACAAGTTTTTATTATGGCTGCGTGTCCTTGCACAAAAAAGTAACAAAAAAATAAACAAAATCCAACGCCCCCAACTCATTCACTCACACACACGTACGTCTTTTCGTGATTGCGACGGGCTTTTTTCGTTATTTATTTAATAAAATTTAGGAATATGCCTGGAAATAATTTATGGTGCTGGAATTTGCACATTAATCCTGCAAAATGTTGCCAAATTATTGAGCCAATAAATATTTACCTTGCTCACTGCCCAGCAGCCCCATGCAACCGCACTCTCTCTCTCTAGCTTCAGCTATCTCTCTCTCTCTCTCTCTCTCTCTCTCTCTCTCTCTCATACACACACATACAACACGCACTTTCTCTGTAACCACCTACCAAAAGTTTTCAATCCCCGTTGGGTCTGCTGACGTTAAGCCATAATTTTGATTTAGACCTCTGAAAGCCGTTTCAGATTCCTTAAGCGTGCATTTATCTCTTTCGAACACTGTTGTCGACAGCCGGCATAGCAAAAGGGTTCTGCTTCTTGTTCTATCTATCTATCTAAAACAACGAAAATTACCATATTCGGAATCCTATCTACCGAGGCCATCAATCACAGTCTGTGAATATGAATTTTGTATTTTGGACCAATTTGCCCAGTTGTAAGAGATTTATGAGCGCACTGAAGAAGAAAATACAAATACATATATGTATGTATATGCACGTACCTTTCCAGCCAGCCATATTTTGGCCAAATCTAACTGCATTGCAAAGGTAAATTGCTGTTGATGCGAACTAACTTGGCCTTATGCCCAATTTCACGTTACATTCGAGCCAGCTGCAACGATGAACTGCATCAATCAGCGAACAGTGCACCGACTATAATTTAAATTTACAGTCGCATCACGTCCAAATTTCACACATTTTTCGATGTATTTTCAACTGGCTGCGGCCAAAAACCGCTGATGAGTTTTATGCCTCTGAATTTTTGTGTTTTGTGGCTAACTAGTTCAGCGCATACGAATGTGTTGAAAGCGCGATTGATTTCAATCGTCTCTATATACAAATCGCACAAACAAACAAACAACAAAAAAACCGACAGGCTGGCGATTTTCCATGGCATTTTGGTGGCGGCATTTAAGTTCGCTGACCGACAAATTTCAATATGAATTCAATTTTCCGCTAAATTGAACTGAGCACAAAAGATGAGCAAATTACGAGCGCAAGTTTACGCTTAAATAAATTCAAATAAATAAACTATACGCAGCTCGACTTGTTAGTGGCAACAGCTAACATCCGTCTTGTTCGTACTTACCAGTGCGCCTCCCTAACCACAAACCCAACTCAATAAGAAAACAGAAAAAAAAAAAAAAAAAATCAAAAACCGACTTGCTTTGCCCTCAAGTGGACTTGCTTGCAGCTTGCGGCAGCGGATGCCGGCCAAGATGAAAGTTAAAATATTCGTATATATTAATTTCTGTAGCTGCAAAAAGAAAAACATGGAAAAGCCATAAACCAAAGTTCAGCGGAAAGTTCATCATCATGAGTGGTGGCTGCAACAGCCACTACAAAACCTTCAACAAGCACCAATGGCCAAAAGCAAAATCAACTAAAAACGCCTGCGACGGCACGTCAAAATCCGACAGATTCAGATACAGATACAAAGGCGAGCCAAAGACAAACCCCGACTGCGCTGCCCACGCCCATGCCCGAGCCCCTCTCCCTGCCCCTGCCGCAACCAGTGCCTCGGCCCGATGCCGAGCCGTTTGCAGCTGCAGCTCCTAGAAGGATCTATAATGGTGTCACTAGTGCCAGCAGAGGGTTCTATGGCGTTGGCCATGTGCGGCGTGTGCGGGCTGGGACGGGCACGAAGCACTTTCCGCTCAGTTTGCAAAATATGAAGTTTGCTTTCGAAAGTTTGCGGTTTTTGGGCTTCTTGCGGGCGAACAATAAGAAAACGTTGAGAAATACATTAAGCCAACATAAAGAAGCATTTGCCAGCCAAGCGGGGCCAGCTAAGCATATGCACGTGTGTGCGTGTGCGTGTGAGTGGGAGTGGAAGTGGAAGTGCGAGTATGAGTGTGAGTGCTTGTCTAAGTGTGTGCTAGTGTGTGCTTTCAGCCAACACACTCAGTCATAGCTCTCAGAATAACAAGGGATTTGTTTGGTCTCTACACGCTTAATACTCAACCCGTTCCCCTAGCTAGCAAACCCATTTTCTCGGGTTCGGCTTTCATCAGCTTGTGCTCAGGCGTCGCTCCTTCAAGCCGGGCATCAGCTTTCCGGCTTGGACATGTTTGGGCCTGACGTCCAAAAGTGTCAGTTAATGAATGTTTTGTCAAACAGCTCGCATCTTTTACAGACTTAACAAAAACCCCTAACTCGATGTAACCAGTACTTCCCAATGCTTCTCCACACACAAAAAAAAAAAAAAAGAAGAAAACTAGCCAAACAACAAATACTGAGCCTTGCATTTTGCGGTGCGTGTGCTTTTTGTTGGGCGTGTGTATGTATGTGTGTTTGCTAGATAGATGCCCATTACTCATCTCGTAGGGTTGTGGCTGTTGCTGGCTAGCCGCACATCACTGTTAGAATTTCATGGATAAATGAACACAATTGATACCTTTTGTGTACTTTTAATCTAGCCAGTATAGCCACAGCCCACATTTGGGCAAGAACTTTGAGTGTCCGTCGCCTGGGATACTGAACTGGATGGAAAATCACAAAAAAAAGAGCAATTTAGTGAACACAATCTAGTAGAGTTGCCAGCTGACAAAATACAAAACTGCAACTATGTAGCTAAAGAAAAATGTATATTTTTGTTCGGCTCAAACTAAAAACAGAAAATCTGTTCTACGCTGCAGAGTGTAAGAAAACAAGAGAAAGCCGTAAAGAGAATATTTGCATTCTTGTTGGGAAGTGGAATTAAAAGTCTGCTTTTATTATTTCATTTAAATTGCGTACGTTAGGCAAGCCCTGAGCGAAGAAATCGCTGAAAAAGTTCAGACTTTGAGTTCGGAGAGGTGACAAGCTTCCAGCTTGTCAAGCAGAGATAATTTTAGACGAAATTGAGTTTTTATCTTAATATGTAGGTTATTAGTCAAAAAAAAAAGTCTTGTCGCCATTAGCCAAATTAATTAGGACCCATTTCAACTGGCGGTTAAATTTGTATGATGAAACAAGCCCAAAGGGGATTAAACAGAAACTGACAGAACCAGAAGGATTCTACCCATAATCCTGCTCTACTTATTTGCTATTATAATTGTTAACGAATCGCTTTCGGGTGCGCAAAATATAAAAAAAAAAAACGACAGAAAAAAATCGAAAAAAAGAGTTGAAACCAAACTAATTAATTGTGATTTCAGTGGCGAAATTTGTTTTAATTTCAAATTAATATCGAATTCAATAAATACCCTCAAACCTAATTAAGACGCGGCGGGCAATTGAAAAAATAAATAATTTAATAATTTATTCCATCGTTAAGCAAATAAAAAATGTTCAAAGCGAATGCTGCGGCTGCCTTTTTCGCTTGTTCAATAATCGAGTTATCATCAGTAACGAGTAATGAAATTCAGTTTACATTTTTTGTTTTCATGTGTACCACGTACATTGTGCAGTAATAAATTAATATAAACAAAAAATATACACTTTAAGCAAATAAATGAAAATAAAAACCAAACCACGCCCGAAAGGCTGATAAAATGCAATTCATTGTTTTGGCAGCAGGGCGAATAGCAGCTAGCAAACGCGCTACAATGTAAAGCATATCGAGCATAATGCCAAAATCACACAATGAAGCGTCATACAATTACGCTATAAAATAAATATTTAATGGCTGGAAACATACATTTGAAAAGTACATAAAACAAAGTGTTATTCATTGCAACTTCCCACCGACAGCAGATGGTATTTGATCGATCCAGCGATGAGAGCGCCATGAATACGCCGACTATGAATGCCAATATGAATATGAGCACGGGCATCAATGGGAGCACATATATTGACCAGCCGTAGGAGCCAACATATATGTATGTACGACGCCATCGTTGATGATGATAACAATAAAATATGAAAATTCAAAAAATGCAAATTGTCAAAATCTGAGGGTGCACAATAAAATCGACCATAAAGAACATCAAATCAACAGCGGACGCTAAGCAACGATAACATACACACACTCGACACCAACGTCAGCCAATAGCAACACAACAACAAATAGCAACAACTACAACAACAACAACAGCAGTAGAAGCAGCAACAACAGCAACAACAAAGAACAAGCAAATCAACTCTGGCCGGTGGCAATGGCCGAGCCGGATCCAAATCCCGCACAGCATCTGCAATGGCAGCGCTGCCAGCATCCTGCTCTGGATCGACCACAGCTACAGCAGCAACCTAGCAAATGTCGGCACGTGCACAACGAGTGCTCCTGGGGCCATGGCTGGAGCAGAGTCGCCTGGCTGCTGGCTGCTGTGTGCCTGCTGACGCGGCCCGTCATGCCGGAAGTTATTTATCGAGTTGATCCTTTGGGTAAATGTTTTGTTTTATTCTCTTTTTGGCGTTTCCTTTTTATTTTGTTCACATTTCAGCCACATCTACATGTAGAAATTCGCGTCGGTTTTGCGTTTTATCTGCAGCAATAACCGTCCGCTATCACTCCGACCACTCCGCTCCCCCAAGCTGGGATGCTGTGACGCTTTTTAGCTAATGCTCGGCAAATGCAGGCGCCAAGTTACCCCTCCCACACCGCCTCCTCCCTGCTAGATGAACTCATCTGGCGATTTTCCCGCTACCAGATATGAATATATATATAGTTGAATATATATAAATGTTTATGTATTTGTATATAAATCATAATTAAGCACAAATACACACTGGAAGTGGCTGTTTATGGCCTTTGTGTATTTCTCGTTGTCCAGTTTGTGTTGAAAGCGGCCAAAACCAAATATTTTCCACGGACAAAGTTTCACAAATGATCTGAAAAGCGAGAGCGACCAAATATTTATGTTCGTCATTAATGATTAATAGGGTAGCCGAAGCAAACATTCATAAATTAAACCACATTAATTAACTGCCCGTCAAGAGTAGATACTTGAATAGAGATGCCTGCCAATCTTCGTTCCATTGTCATGAATGTTGAATCATGACCATGAACTACTTTGCGATTACTTATCTCAAAACTCTTATAATCATATATACAGACACAGATTTATATGTATGTATGCATGGCATGTATGTATGTACATCTTCTAATTTGAATGCTTTTCTTAAGGGCATTTTAACTTTTTCATTGAGCGCGTAACAGCATATATATGTATATAATCAATTTAACCTATTTCTAGATTAAAAAGCGTTTCCATATTAAGATAGTTTTACAGGCATACTTGAAAGTATCGAAACACAATTTGATATGCCGACTATAGGAATTATTGGAATTACATCTATATAAAAAAAGATATTGTATCAAAATAAAAGATTATTAAATTATCAGTTGATCAGTTCAAACGAGTTTAATGCTAATTTAATTAATTTAATTACTTAACTTTATAAATCAAAAATATAAATTTACATATATACATATATATACACATTTTTTTTTTTTTTTCGAAAAAAAGCTTTATAGAAAGAATCGATTTAATATTAGTTTTCAAATATCTTGAGCTAATGTAATATATTTATATCTAGAAATTATATTATATCATAAATACTATTTATCAAGCACATATGTGTATTATTCAGTCCAGAGTCAGGGTATTTAATCTTCAATGTTTGTTCATCCTAATGGAAACTTTATTAGCCAGCAACATAAAATTTATGTTTTATTTTCCATTTGCTTTATTTTCCACACATAGTTTGCACTATATATACCGAGTATGAAAACCCGCACACATATGGGATATACTTAGCTATAAAATTCTTTTTCTTTTTTCGCTGTCGTTGCAAAAGATGACGCACTTCAGCATCTTTGCTTCTCTGTCAGCAGCTTTCAATATGCGCTGAATTTATCGATTGGAGCCGTCGTCAGATTGAAAAAGTTTCTCAAAATTAATTATTCGCACCATCATCATGTCGATAGAGATTGAAATGAAAATGAAATGAAAATATTTAATGTGTTTATTTCATTATTATATACATTATATTTTATTCATTCGACACTCACACAGAAATATTTAGTGTGAAGCATTGCCAAAAGGTGTACTGTGTCACATGATTCTCTTATACTACGCGGCTCCTATAGCTGCCTGTATAAGAGAGCTGGCAACAACTTTCAAGTGCACTTAGAAGGGATTCGCAGGCATCGACAAATTTCACGCTCACATGAGCAGAGCCATGAACTTGGCAACGCGTGTAATTAATAAATATTTTTACCAACTTTCTTTTTAAGTGCTTAACGGTCTGGATCATTAATTTCAAGGCCGAGGTAGATAAACATGTCAGCTATACCAACTCGGTCGAAACTTCCGATTTATGTGTTGTCGCAGCAGCCATTAAATGGCGCGTCGTTAATAGCGAACTTTAGCGTCTCGCACTTGCCATAAATATTCAATTGCTACTCGGATGTACATGTAATGAATGTATGTGCATGTGTGTGTGTGTGTGGGGGGGGGGGGGTGGTAGTGATTCTGGTTTTCTTTATTTATTTTTTTTAATATTTTTAGATAGATAAGGCACACGTAGACATTGGTATTTGTATACATATGCCAGGCAGACCCGCCCACCTAATCATAGACTCAGGCGAGCTAGGAGGAGCCGCCGTACTGTACTGAGTGCGACTGGCGCCTTGGGTCGCGTTGATAACGGAAACTTTCACGGCCTACGCGCTTGTTTCACATTTCCCAGCGTCGGTTCGCATTAAGATGTGCTTTAATCTTTCATCTGTGGCTGGGCTGGTCTAGGCGGCAACAGTAGGCCTGGAGATGGAGGTGTCGGTGGCATGTTGTTGTCCTTGTGCCTTTGTCATATACGATGCCTTTTAGTGTCTTGCTTGAGCTGTAAAATTTAACTGGGGGCGACAGAATGCTGAACACTCGCACACGAGTGACTCAACAGTCCTTAACAATGGCTGAGTAGGCGGCACCATCTTCAACTCTCAGCCGCTTCAACTCTATGGCCTCATACACGCGCACAAGAAGCCGCAGGGTCGTTAATACCCTTCTTTTGGTTTTCTCCCCTCGTCATACCCTGTAAACAACAACAAGGAAGCAAACAAGGATATGCCAGATGTGAATCTAAAAATGGAAACAATAAAAAAAAAAGTTTTGATAAACTCTTTGTTCGAGGATATATTTAAATTAGGAATATAATTTAAATCACTTAAAATGCTTTAGTGCTTATTCGAGTGAGATTTCTTTAGCTACAGGGCAGGGTATCACGTTGGTCGTCTCGCTTTGTTTGCGCTCAATATTAAAACACTTCTGTTTGGCTGGTGGCGGTAGCTGTCGAGGTTTGTTCAGCTAAATAACCAGGTAAATGCTTACCAAAATTATGAAAAGTGAAAGAGTTATTATCATTTTATGTCGCATAAATTTGCATGAGCCGTCCACGTGGAGTGCCTGCTGGGTCTGCGCCCAAGGTAGGGCGCTCCTTGGCGGTCGTAAACTGTTGAGCAAACGTCGCCCGGCTGCTGCTGATTTAGGGGGACCATAAACGTGCATACGTGTAATGCGTACTTTGTGCCCAGTTGCCGATGCTCCTGCCGGTGGGACTTTAACTGCGGCTCCTTAACAGAAGCATCTCTGCCTCTCTAATGGCCGCAACCAGTGCGCAATTGCAATTATTAAGATGCTCCAGTAGGATTGTGATTCCAGGTTGTCAGAGTGCTTTATAATATGTTGGGGGCACAATTATCAAATTCAGATTGCGCAATATACAAAGCAACACCATTCAACTCGTATTACAGTTGCAGTTTTGACAACTTCATGATAATATGATATGGCCTTTGTTATGCGACTATTCGCAATTCAATACACAAAATCGAACTATATGCCGGAGCGTGTTTCGGGTGGAAAATTGGTTTTCAATAATAGAAATGCTAGATGAACGTATACAAATGAATACAAATACATACAAATATACGCAAATATACACAAATTGTATATTATTCATGTGTGTGCCGCACATGTGCTACATACACTCACACACACATATGCATACATATACCGCCCGCCATGCTGTTGGCGTTTTCTACTCGAATTGCTAGTCGCACTCGTAGCACACATTGTCAAACCACCTTCTATCCCCCTAATGCCCGTATTACCCCCTTTTTTGGCAGCCGTTGTAAGGCATTTGTTTTGTAGTGTAAACACTTACTCATGCATACACACATTTTCGCATACTTTTGCACACACAAACACACACAGACACACATGGGCAAACAATTTGGGTAATGAAGTCAGTGGCTCAGAGGATGCCCCATCAACGTTGTCGCCTCTAAAGTGGATAAGAGAAATGTACAATAAACAGAAACAAATGGCACACCATTTTTTTCGCTGGAAAAGTGAAATAAAAAAAGGAAAAACACTTGAAAAATAATTTCACATGAAATTGAATGTCTGAGTTTGCTTAGGTGTCAAGTGTCAGTTAAGTTAGAAGACTGAACGATTGCATAATGGAAATTCAATTTACTTCAAGACTATTTTTCCATTAGACACTGCGGCATTACCTGCCACACTTCAGTGCGCATCAATTCCATTTCGTTTAACGTTCATAACAAACACAATTAATTTACTCGCTGTTGTATTTTTCTGTTACTTAACCACCGACAAAGCAATGAATTCAAAACCATTGCTCCAAATGACATTTCAATTGAAAAATACAGTAGCATTCTGTAAGACTTGTGCATTGTATACCCAATAGAAAGGACAAAATAAGAAAAAAAAAAATATATATATATATTTGAAGAACACGAAAATTCACAATATTCGACATGTCGATACCACATCTACTTGCCACCATGTGGAGCTATTATAATTGAATTTAGCTTGATACAGTTTATTAATGTCAAATGCAATTCTTCGAAAAATAACCCAATTCTTGAATGTGTGCCAAATTTAATTGAATGATTTTTCTGTAGCCTTAAAAATACGAAACGATAAAATTGGCTGAATATGTTGACAGAAGCAAGAAAGAAGAGCAAGCTTGATGAAACCGAAATGTGGATGCCCTTTGATTTACTGTGATCTTGAGAGTATTATGAGCAACAAAGACTAAGATTTTCTAATAATTTGCTATAGAATTCTTCACATTAATGCAGTATAAAATAGAAAAAATTGAAAAAGCTCTCCAATTTTTTAAATGATATATATGTCTACTGCATCAACAAATGAATCAATATGAAGAATTCTTATTAAAAAATATCTATGTACTTTTTTTGAACTCACCGCAAGCGACGAGCAGGAGAGCGAGCACAAAGCTAGTGAATACAGGGAGAGTGATATTACATCTCTTACAACTACAACTTCAAATGTTGTTATTACAAGTTATTAGTATTTATCTAAAATGAATTACGCAGCAAATCGATATTGACATGTTAAATGATAATATAAATATAAGCCCATTCAATGCAGACAAACGAATAAATATTTTTTTATCAATACACTCACATTGAGATTTTCTAAAAGAACAACATTTGATTTTTGTTAAATTTGTTTTTTAATCCATCCGAATTTGAGTGCCAAAAGCATATTGGCGTACATACCATTGATTTCGCTTTGAGCTAGGGATCTTTAATTTAACAAACAATGCGAAATTCTACATGTAGCTGAATCACTGTTTGCATTTGATATGCGTTTTGTGAATGTTATTTGTTTTTGTTCTTAGCTTCTATATTTCTCTTTTTGACTTTTGCTTTCTGCCTCATTCATATATTAATGCAGCCTCACTTTGGCAATGTTTGCTTTCAGCCCTGCTGGCGGCCACCTTGCGGACGTACCAGCGTGCCGGATGCGATTCAGAACAGCTGTCACTCAGCTGTCCACGTGGCACTAGCATTTCCATAGAGCTGGCCCAGTACGGACGAGCGGGCGGTAAGTTCGATTGTCACGTACGAATCAGCGAAGTGAATGCTGGACTGTAAGTGGCGACCGGAGTGGTGACGGTGCCGGAGGTGCAGTTGGGTCCGTCCAGCGTCAAGTGAACAGAACAACGGATGGTCGGGCCCTTCGACTGACTAGAGCGACTGCCAATATCGCAATTGATTGATTGTTGCCCAAAGTTTGTCCGTTACACGCGTCGATTGTACGCATTGTATTTTACTTATTTGTGTGCGCACGTGGCCATGTTTTGGCTCTCTGTGTACTTGTCGACGCCCCCTCGAGTGGCACTAGTTGTGGCAGTAGTTGTAGTAGTATGCACGCAAACAAGCAGACAATCACAATGAAAGCAAATGAGAAGCGAGCCGTGCTTCGCATACGCCCATATCGAGTATACGTATGGATGGACGTCCGTGGCGATTTTCCGAGATGCTCGCAGATTGAGTTGCGTTTGCATTGAACGCTATTTCCACTCGGCTCTGGCCACATTCCACATGCCACTCGACCTCCGAAGACCACTCTGACCCACTTCACTCCACTTTGGCGCTACCCACTTTGCACCGCTTCGCATCACTTCAGCGTGCTTCGAAAAATCGACGACGACAACGCCAACAATAACAACAACAACAAATTTGCCCTCTCGTCCACTTGAACAGATTTATCCGACCACAGCTTGTGTCCGCCTGTGTCGCAGGAGGACCTCACCACGACCGGAAGTGCCGGCGATGCTGTCATCCACAGCGGCACAGAAATCGAAGTCAAACCGCCGGAAACGTGTACCGTAAGCGGATTACAGGTAAGCTGAATCAGTATAATTGCAATTCCATCATCGTCGCACTCATCATCGAAAGAAGGCTCAGCCATGTTCAGCACACGGCTGGCTCCATACAACCACACACATACACATATATAT